GAAAAATATTATTAACTATTGATTTTCATTTTATTTTAAATAATAAATAGACAGTAAGTATTTTCATCATTATTATTTTATTGTTTTTTGAAAAATATTAACTGTTGATTTTCATTTTATTTTAAATAATAAATAGTGAGTAAGTATTCATCATCATTATTATATATACCATTGTTTTTGAAAAGTATTAACTGTTGATTTTCATTTATTTTAAATAATAAATAGTTTGTAAGTAATTTCATTATCATTATTATATCGATTGTTTTTGAAAAATTTAACTGTTAATTTTCATTTTATTTTAAATAATAAATAGTCCGTAAGTATTTTCATCATCATCATTATTATTACTACAATATCATTGTTTCTGAAAAAACATTAACTGTGAATTTTCATTTATTTTATTTAAATAATGAATAGTATCTGGTAAGTACTTTCATCATCATTATATTATAGCCAATATCATTATTTTTGAAAAAATATTAACTGTTGATTTTCATTTTATTTTAAATAATAAATAGCTGGTAAGTATTTTTATCACTATTATTACTATAGTCAATATCATTGTTTTTTAAAAAAATATTAACTGTTGATTTTCATTTTATTTCAATAATAAATAGTTCGTAAGTATTTTCATCATTATCATCATCATATTACTACAGCCAATATCATTGTTTTGAAAACATATTAACTGTTGATTTTCATTTATTTTAAATAATAAATAAATAGTGGGCAAGTATTTTCATCATCATTATATTACAGTCAATATCATTGTTTTTGAAAAAATATTAACTGTTGATTTTCATTTTATTTTAAATAATAAATAGGGAGTAAGTATTTTTATCATTGTTATCACTACAGCCAATATCATTATTGCTTTTAAAAAAATATTAACTGTTGATTCCATTTTATTTTAAATAATAAATAGTCCGTAAGTATTTTCATCATCATTATTATGTTATTGTTTTTGAAAAATATTAACAGTTGATTTTCATTTTATTTTAAATAATAAATAGCATGTAAGTATTTTCATCATCATCATTATATTACTACAGCCAATATCATTGTTTTTGAAAAATATTAACTGTTGATTTTCATTTTATTTTAAATAATAAATAGTTCGTAAGTATTTTCTTCATCATTATATTTTAGCCAATATCATTGTTTTTGAAAAAATATTAACTGTTGATTTTTATTTTATTTAAAAAAATACATAGTGGGCAAGTATTTTCATTATTGCAGTCAATATTGTTTTTGAAAAATATTAACTGTTGATTTTCATTTTATTTTAAATAATAAATAGCTGGTAAGTATTTTCAACATCATTATATTACAGTCAATATCATTATTTTTGAAAAAATATTAACTGTTGATTTTCATTTTATTTTAAATAATAAATAGTGAGTAAGTATTTTTATCATTGTTATCACTACAGCCAATATCATTATTACTTTTAAAAAAATATTAACTGTTGATTCCATTTTATTTTAAATAATAAATAGTCCGTAAGTATTTTCATCATTGTCATTATTATTATTACTACAATATCATTGTTTTTTGAAAAATATTAACTGTTTGATTTTCATTTTATTTTAAATAATAAATAGACGGTAATTATTTTCCATCATCATTATATTACTAAAGTCAATATTGTATCTGAAAAAAATATTAACTATTTATTTTTATTTTATTTTAAATAATAAATAGCTGGTAGGAATTTTCATCATTGTTATCATTACAGTCAATATTATTGTTTTTAAAAAATATTAACTGTTGATTTTCATTTATTTTAAATAATTTGAAAAATATTAATTATTGATTTCAAATAGTGTATAGGCTGTAAATATCCTATATTTGCTCTTTGATTCTCTTATCATAGCTAGCTTCATTTATTACTTTAAATTTTTGGTAATCTAAATTCTATTCTTTATTTACTTTTATATTCCTTTATTACAATTATTTCATTAGGTTTCTTTATATTTATTATTTTATCATCCAATAAGCCTTTGTTTTTTAATGTTTATATTTGTTGTTAATTTTATGTTGCATAAGAATTTTTTATATTACAACATTATTTAAAAAGTCACCTCACAACTTTGAGAATTTTCCCAAAAATCCAAAAAAAAATCATTTGGTCATGTAATCTTTCCTATAAATAGTAAAATTGGCAATAATAATATGATTGGCTTGGCCTAAAGACCTCCTTTAGCTGCGCCATGCGTTCAAATTTCAAAAATTGCAATTTCGTGATTAATTCAAAAAATGCAATAAAATTTTTTGATGGATGTACACAATACATGATCAATGAAAACAAAGAAAAGAAGTGGTTGAATATAAATGTTTGATTGGTTCACATGCAATTAAAGAAAATATGATGCTTAAGATTCAATGCATCCACAAAAACAAAATATATTATTTACAACATTAACATCTGTTTCCCAAGCAATCAAATTCAAAAGATAAAATGTTTGACAACTCCCAAGAAGGGAAGCACAGATTAGTATTAGCCAATCAGAATCCCATATTCAAGTAAGCCACCCAAAATTATAAAAAAAATATATTTTTATCTTTGCCTATCAAAACATTGAAAGAATTTTTTAAACAAATGTTTAACAAAAAAATCAACAACAATATTGCAGACCCTGATAATCAATTGGGTTAAATTTAATATTAGAAAATTGAATATTTTAGAACAGAAACTATTGCTATTGAATAACACTTTTATTAGATCTGATATTGGTTCACATTCATAATATCAATTAAAGGTTTGTACATTTCTTTTCCTTTTTAATTTAAGAAAATTAATCTTTTATATTCATTTATGACATTGACATCTGGGCATGGACAATAGAAAGGGGTAAACATCAAAGTCACGATTTTGAGAAAATTGAAAAAATGATTTTGACCCAAAAACTCGGAAATTTCATATCATTTCTATATTCATGACAAAACTAGGGGCTATTTTAATAACTACAGTCAGGGTTCTTTCCAAATTTGGAAATAGAAGTTTACACCACTTTGCCAATCAATTCATTTATCTTTCATATGTTACAAATAAGTTGATGTGATACTTTGTGCCCTTTGAAATTTTTTTTTTGTTTTTAAAATTACTATTACACGAGTTGAAATAAATTACTATAATATTTCTCTTTCATAATCTGTTAAAAATCTATAAAAATCTATTTTCTTCCTCAAAGTATGCTTTAAATGATTTAACTATTTTTACAATTTACTAAAATTTTTCTTTTTTTCTGACCTTAGTGAATAAAACACTTGCTAGCGATTTACCTTGTTTGTTTGCTTCACTTGTTCAAAAATACCAATTGGTGCCATGTGACGATGCTAACAGTGACAAGAAATATTGGAGATGAGCATCAAGAAGTAAAGCAAATGAGCATGTAAAAATATTTGCTAAATATTTTTCTGAAGTATCTTTATTAATTCAACCTTTAGATAATTATTCAATTTGTGTTAGACATTACAATCAAATTGTTACTTCTAATGTTTTTCTTGAAAAACTAAAAGCAATAGATGATTCTGTTTCTAGTTCTTTAAGAGAAGAAGGCCAACAAAAACGACCTAAAGTAATTGATGAAGATGCAGAAATTCCACAAGAACAGGACACACACCACATAAATATTTTGTTAGAATTAGAAAAAACAATTGTTTGGATACCATCTTTTAATGATTTCTCAACTAACTCAAAATTAAAAATTTCTGTTAACTTGGGAACCTCATCTTCTCCATTATCTACAGTATATACATCATCAATTAAAAATGTAGAATCATTTTGAAATTCATTATACAATTCATTTACAATTTGATCTTCATCTATGCTTTCCTGTATATCATTATTACAATCATCCATTACTATTGGCTCATCAAAATTTTTTTTGGAATCTTGTTTTTGTTTGTTTTTATTATTAGTTTGATTTATATACCATCCTATTTTTGCAACACATTCTGGCTTCAGTTAGTGATGGGTGTAAAAACTATTTTGAAAAATATCCAAGTTATTAAGTACTTAATATTAATAACTCTTATTAAGTGTGTTAAAAACACAAACTTGCAGATTTATTGGTAGCAAAAATTATTTAATCTATCTATGTTTAATCAAATATTAATTTGATAATTAATTTAGTTTAATACAGTAATAAGTGATGACAGTGCATAAAATTCAATATGTGGGGTGTGCATGTTAACCAAATTTGATAATTATTTTTCCAGATTTTCCAAATTTGGTTAGCACTGCACATTCCGCATACTGAATCCTATACATCGGAATTGATTGGCAAATTGGATTAATAACTCTCACTCAAAATGCAACAGTTAATAAGTGGAGTTATTAAGTGTAGGGTTAAAAATTCCCATCACTAATTCATCTGTTGCTGATTCAACATTACCCAAATCATCATAAACTGTATTTTCGTTATTTTCAATAAATTGATTTTCATTTAATATTTTCATCATACTTTAGTGTGTTGACATTTTTTTTGATTTCGACTTGAAGATAGTCCAAGATATCAACATTTTGATTGACACCTTTGTACAGTTGAACCTCGTTATAATGAACACACTGGTTTGGCCTCAATAATCCATTATAATGAGGTATTTGGTAACCAAGGTAATTGATGATCAGCACATGATACTTTTAAATATAACTTTTTTTATTTAATTAATAATTTTTTTTTTAATAATATTAATGATAATAATAATAAAATTGTACAACATAATAATATTATTATCAATATTATAACTGATAAAATAATATTAAAAGAAGTCAAATGTGATATGGCATGGCACTATTGTTTGGTAAAATAAGAAGTTACTTTTCCTTGGTTTAAACTTTTAAAATTATACAAATTAATTTTTTTCTTTAATGCATGAAAAACTTTGAGTTCATTATAATCTAATTCTAAACCATCATTATCTTGCTCAAAAAAATTATGAGCAGTTTCAAAAGCAGTAACAGCATCCTTAAGTGAAATATGAGGTAATGTTGGAACATTTTCTTCAATTTCTTCCTCAGCTGGAGTAAGTGATAAGATTATTTGTTCATCAATTACCATTTCAATACTTATGTCTGCATCATCTATTGAAATGAATTCTGTTGCTGTTAGAGGTGAATTAATTGGTAAATTATTAATTAAATTTTGAACAGCATTTTCTTCTTGAGAATTCATTTACTAAATTGTTGGCTTGTTCTATTTCTATATGATATAAATCATTTTCTTCTGGAAGAATTCCAGTTTTTTTCCAACAATTAGAAATAATTTCTGATGGAACAAATTCCCAAGCTCTTGCAACCATCTTAACTACATGATAAATGTTAATTGGATCAGGTTCTAAGCCAGACTGTTCTTCATCAAAATTATTTATTCTTTTTTTCAAAAATAATCTTTTACAATGAGCTTTGAAACTATGAATGACGCCTGCATCACATGGTTGTAAATGTGCTGTGGTGTTTGGTGGTAAATAATGAATGGTTATGTTTGGGAAAGTGATACCCTCTGTTAAGGTATGTGTTGGAGCATTATCAGCTGACAATATAATATTCCTATTTTCATCTTTCATTTTTTTATTTAATTTTTTGAGATAATTGTTCCATATTGAGACCTGCATCAAAGCTGTGTTATTCCAATAATAATCTACTGGTAATGAGTTTTTATTTATTCCTCTCAATGGTCTTGGGTTTTGGTGCTTGTGTATAAATAAGGGGATTAATTTTTCTGTGCCAGTTGAGTTACATGTTAAAAGAACTGTAACTCTATCCTTATTTTTTTTGGTTCCTGGAAGTGGTCCAGTTGATAACCCACGATTAGGTTCCATTTTCCAGAACAAACCAGTCTCATCACAGTTGAAGACATCCTCCCGCCTATACTGTTGAAGGACTTCTCTTAAATTTATTCTTATCTGTGGAATCTCACTTATTGGAGCACTTTGGGCTTCTCCATGTTTATTAAATGCTTGAATTGAGAATCTATGCTTAAAATTTTCAAGCCACCCTTGAGATGCTTTAAAGTTATGATGATTTAACAAATCAGCAAAATCTAGGGCCTTTTGTTGAATTATGGCACCTGTGATTGTCAAATTACATTCAAGAGCTTTTTCAATCCACAAGATTAATGCCTCTTCAATATTTATTAAAGGTGAGGGATGTAATTTTTTTAATGTTGCTTGATACAAATTTGGATCAACATGAAGCCATTTGTCAGAACTTCTTAAGATATCACTAACTTGTCCTGTACTGATTCCAAATTCTCTTACAATAGGTCAGTAACACCAACTACTACATCTTAAAAACAATAGTTATTATTGCTCAAGCACTAGATTATTTTAAAGTCTTTGGAAAAACAATAGGTTAATGAACGAACATAAGGATCTTTTGTTTATTCATTTTAAAAAGAATTTATTAATACAGAATTCTAACATTGTATTAATGTTTGTTTTCTTCTATGGTTGAACGGCGGATGATTGTTACACGACCATCAAAAATATTCTAAGAGGTAATAAATAATATGAGGGCTTTTGAGAAGATGAAAAAAAGATCCGCATTTTAATAAAATTTCTGTAATTTATATTAAATTGAGAATTCTTCAAGGACCCCTGTAAAATATTTTGTGCTAGAAGTTATCCAAACCAAAAATGAGTTGAAAATATCCACGAAGAACTATTGGAACATATGGAATATGGAAATATTGAAGAACAAAAGATTTCAACCATTTCTAATTGGATAACTAGAACCTATGTGGGTTGGAAAAAAAAAATGGAAGAAACATTATCTAATTTGTAAATTTAATTTTTTGTATGTTTATTAATATATAATTATATAGAAATTATTATTATCATTACCTATTGATGTTAAATTTTTTTATTTGATGATCGCGTAACAAAAATACAATGTTATATATAGTATACCATAAGAATTATTACCATTAGTAATATATATCGCGTGACAATAATCTATCATTTACTATAGATCTAAACATTAATATTAATACAAGAATTAATATTACTCAACTAGAATATTTTTGATGGTCATATAACAAACATTCATCATTCAAATAAACATTAATACAATGTTATATATACAATATTTACCTATTACCATTAGTAATATTAACTAGGGTGTTGGTGTTGATTTTTTCTTTGATGGTAACAATAATAATAGTCATTTGACCATAGATCAGTTTTTTGAATATGCATGAAAAACTATTGAACATGTGGAATATGGAGAGCTTGAAGAAGAATTCCAAAGGTTTCGACACTGCTAATTGGATAACTAGGACCTATGCAGGTTAGAAAAAACAAATGGCCGAAGAAACATTAGGTGCTTCTAGTTTATATATTTGATTTTTGGTCCAATAAAAACGTATGAAATAAATAATTTAATTTAATTTTACATTTTTTGAGCCCGAATCTGTCCCTCCCACTAAGTAAAGTCTTTCTCAAGACAAATGTTTTAAAAAAAAATTTCGATATATAGATAATATGCAAGTCATCGCGTGATTAAAATTTTAGGTTAATATGAATTTTTTTTGTGCTGCATTTTATGGTTATTTTAAAAAACATAGTAGATCGTCAAATTTTTAACCAAAATTTTAAGATTTTTCTGCCGTTTATAAAAGGATCGGCAATTAATAATTTTATTTTACATAATTTGAAACCTTTAAAGAGTATCGCTATAAAATAAAATATGGTGAATGAGCAATTGCAGATGAATGTCTTGTAATAATAAAATGTAAACAAAAAGATCAAATAAAAATACAAACGAATGTATCCTTTGTAAAAAATAAAAATAGTTGAAAAAAGATTGAATGATAATGCAGTCTTCAAACAATGAATGTATTGTAAAAAGGAAAAATATCAATGATAAATACACTTGTCAAACAATAAATATATTGTAGAAAAGGGAAAATGAATGTATTGTAAAAATACAAACTTGAACATTTTTAGTATAGACGATTTGTGTTCGGTATAACGCGACTAGTAATATATATTAAAAATTTTTAATAAATGTTCGTTATACGGAATAACGAGGTTTATCATATAAATTCGTTATAACAAAATTTTTTATTTAATAAAAAAAAATCGGGAAAAGGTTTGTTTGGTATAACAAAAATCCGTTATAACGAGGTTCGACTGTATATTTTTATAATAGCTTTCCTTTTCTCAAAAATAAAAATTTTCTTTAAAACTTTTGTGTGATTTATTCGGACCAATCAAATTTCGTGATAAAATCAAAATATGATCAACGAAAATCATTACCAATTTGCGAATGACCGCTTCAAAGATCAGCAATCAATTGTTGAAATTGCTTCGCAATTTAAGGGGTTACACTTATCAAATCATACAAAAATCCCTTAAAAATTATGTGTCAATCACTTGATTTTGATAAGTGTGGTTACACTTAATGAATATGATGATATCATTAATTTAATCGATAATCAGGAAAGGTTTTGTTTAGATAGCCTATTAACATATTCTACATCTGAATGGCTTTCCAAAAGAAATCCAGTTGTGAAATTTATACAAACACTTGCTATTACATACAATGAAAATGAAAATCAAATTAATGGGAAGCTTTTTAAAGTTGCTGTAGCAGTTGGTATTATTTATGGGGCAACTTGGCAACATCAGCAATCAAATACTCTTTATCCAAATCTAAAACAATTATCAATATATTTTAAATTTTTACAAATTCTTTTGAGAGAATAAATACCTTTGAACATTGAAATTAGATGGCTATGGCCATTTGGATATTATTATATCAATATACAATTATTTATTACTTTTAAATAGGAAGTTAAATTAAACAGATGACTTATTTAATATTAATATGCATGCATGTCACTTTGTTTGGTTGGT